GTAATATGCTTTATGTGTGGGTGTATGCTGCCTCTAGCTATTGTGTAGAACATTCAGGGTCACAGTCTTGTCTGACTCAGATAACCAAAGCCAAGAATGGATACCACTAATAGAGCAGGAAAATTTAGGATTTCATAAGGATGAAGATCTTGTCTGTAATGGTAGGCAGAGGACTCCTTATCCCCTGTAAAATTCTGTGACCAGTAGGAAATCCTATGGTGTTAGCTCCAGAGAGCTATTTTGGTTTAGTTTGGAAAGTTTACCTGGAGTACATTCACGTGGGACTTTGGCCCGGTACAAGTAGGTGAACTCTCAATCCAATTTCAGTTGAAGCAGCTTTCAAAATGCACAAGTTGCTCAGCTCCAGCTCAACAAGACAAGCACACAGATGTGCTGTGCAGTGGTCTCTAGCTGTTTCTTAGTAAATGCTGAATGTCCAGGTGAACAATTGAGTTGAGAGGAGAGTCCAAGCCTTTTGGTGAGAACCCAGATGAAGATTCATGTTAGATCTCCTCTCAGGAGGCTGAGGAAGTCTTTTCACAGAGTTGTCACTGATTATGGAGTGCTTTAACTACATAATTTCCTGTACAAAACTCATAAAAGCCTTGAAGGCTATGCAAACACTTTTCCAAATAGCCACATTTTAAAAGATTGATGAGCTGGGGTTTTTTTCTGACAGTAATTGGTTTACTTCTTTATTAGGAATTTTTATGTTTTCGTGCTGCCACCTTTTAAGCAAAGGCTTCCTCCTTTCAGTCTCAAGGTCTGTGGCCTTCATTGGATCACAGAAATGGTTTGTTTGGGATCTGGCAGAGCTGAGGTGGTGAAAAACTCAGGGAGAGGTGAAGGAGACACTTTCTAAAGCAGTATTTGACAGGATAGAAATGTTCCCTGTTGATAGCAGATTGCTTTGGGAGGCTCTTGGACTTTTTCCAGTCGCACATTATAGTCCCTTTCTCCCTTCTATGCATTTCTCTCTTCCCTGCTTTATCACATTGATTTCTGGATGTACTTAAATGGCAGAATTCATAAGCTGTTTGATTTACATGCCGCTGGCCTTTGAAGGCCCTGTTGGAGATACCTGGCAGTGTTGTTTTATGTACACTTTCCCTTTCCTACAGTTCCCCTTGGAGATGTGAGTGCTTAGCACTTCTCCAGAAAAGATCAATTTTGGATGTCACATAATTCTCATATTAACTATAAACGTGCACTACTGAGGAAACTAACAGGACTTTCCTACTTAAGGATTATATATGCAGAACTGAACACATGTTGGGATCAACATGAATTTTGGGGTTATTTTACAATGACACAAATCTAAATATTGTATTTCCAGTGATGGCTTAAATAAAGCTCTTCCAGGAATCTTGTATTTTTATTTCCTATAGAAAATTCAAAAGACAGTTTGGAGTTATAGCCTGATGAATTCTGAGATTTTAAGGATCCGTCAAAAGAACTTGCTCTAGCCTTGTTCATGACACCTATTCCTCCATGTCATCTTCTGTTATTTCTCCATTGTCCTCTTAACTACTGTATGGGTATGTGCAGGTCTTAGGAATTAGGTTTTAATGCAGACTTCTAATGATAAGAGGTGAAACTTATACAGAGCTTGGGTTAAACCCTGAATCTTGTTTGTCATTTCAATGCGAACTCATTGAATTCACTGTATAGCCTGGACTTTCTCTTGTCCCTAACATGATTATGTTTTGTTTCCCCTTCACTCCAGTCCAATCGCTAAGGTGGAGAAATTTACCAAAAAAATAAATATTTGTGACTATGTTTTAATTAGGAATAGCACTGTTACTTGTGCTGTGTCTGGGCATTCAAGTCCTTTTGTACTCAAATTTTTTTTGAGAAGGAAATCCCTGGTTCCCTTCTTCTCTGAATACCTCAAAAGAGTAAATCCCAATCAAAAGCTCAGTTGCTCAAGAGCTATGGATTAGCCTCCATACACAAGATATAACCGCCAGGACTTTGCCTTCCACCCAAGAGCAGCATTTATGGTACTGGTTTTTATTCAACTCTCAGCAGATTCAGGCACCCAAAAGATGAGAACAGTGTTCCTTAAGTGGTCAGTGCTTTCCCCCTGACTTTCAGTTCCAGCTGGCAAGTGCTGACTGCTGGCAAAAGTACCTGGTCCCTGTTGGTGCCTACAAGATAGATGACGTCCTGTAGGGATGGACATGGATGATTTTTCTACAATCAGCAATGACATCTGTGTTTTCCTGTGAATGAATAACCTGCCTATGGGCCAGGCAGTATTGTCTCAAGTTGGGCAAGAATCATAAGTGACAACTTCCAGCAAAATTCTGTTGATGTGTAAGACAATTATCCTACTCCAAGCCTTGTGATATGTTTTTCTTGTCCTTCTCCAGGTATTTTGAGTTTTATGAAGGGCCTTTGGAATACAACTCTACCAAATGCCTGGAATTACGGCAGGACATCATTGAGGTGAAGGTTTTGTCCATGTAAGTATGAACCAATGCTTGCTAAAAAGGTTACTTTTCAGGCAGTATGAAAACTATAACTTACAATGACATTGTCAAAAGATGCGAGGTTCAAGAGATCCCATCAACAGGGATCTCATCAGGTATTCCTGAGATTCTTTTATATGTGCAAGTAGTATTGAAATTTGTTCTGAGGTCCGTTTGAGAATAAATGGAGGGTTTCCCCATACACAGGCATTTTGGTCAAGCTCAGTATTATTGTTTGGAATTAAATACAGGGTTTGTAGTATTTCCAGTAATTGAAGGGTAAGAACAGCCGGATTGACTCATACCAAGTGTCCATCTAGCTTAAGGATCTATCATTGACAGTCTTCAGCAGTGAAGGCTAGGAAAGGAACCAAAAATGCCAGCCCTCCCTGACAATAAACACTGGCATGGGGACTTGTGAAGTGGTAGATGGAGTCCAGACTGCAGTGATCAGAGTGGAGAGTAGACATCTCTGTTGTTTAGATCTTTTCCTAGCCCATTTGTATTTTTGACCTCCTCAGTTAAAAGTAAGAAAATATGATTTTGAGAAACAATACCTATAATTTTTGTTTCATGGTTTTATATGTACATCAGGAAATTAGTGAGTTGAATGAGATATATCTGTGAAGCCGTAGTTATGGAATTGGGCAAAAAATGTGGTTACCATAGAACACATTGGGCACAATGTAATGGTATTTTTGTGTGCCCTTCTGCATTTTCAGTATTGCACTGAATTTAGGTGCTTAGTTTATACCTAATGCCTGAGCATATCTAAAGGCAGTGGTTTGATAATCATGCTGACAATGCACAAGGCTTATTAAGTTCTGTAAAGTGCACTGAGACTCTCAGTTGAAAGTGCAGTTCTACAAGTGCGTAGCATTAATCACTCAAGGCACAGAAAATACAATTTGTTGCGATAAGTCTGCATGAATTTGAGCATGTCTCGCTCACTGACTTTGTGCACAGAAAAATGTAGGTTATGTCCTTGTCTTCTGTATCTTGTACTGGATGAAGGATACACAAGTAACACACTTTGCACTGCTTGCTGACTTGCACTACTTAAAAATAAATAGAAGGGGTGAGAATGTCACCCTTCTGCCAATGTTCTGCTGAAGATGGGGAGTTTGGAATTGCATTTTTGCATACTTATCAGAGGGTACACAGAATTGCTCTTTTTGTTTCATCTTATCCAATGGCACAAGGAAGGTAGTGGACTCTTGCTCAGCTAGGTAGAGTTAGTCTCACTTCTACAATAGGTGCCATTTGACATTAAGCTCTTTTACTATGCTGGGCTGTTCTGATGTTCTTACTTCTAATGTGCTACATTTCTGAAGTCAGCACTGATGGTAATGGAAGACTTCCAAGTTAATGTGCTCTGATGGGCTACAGAAAGTACAATATGACCTAATTCCTTCCTGTAACTTCCACAGCCTGGGAAATTCTAAATTCTACTCACTTTAAATATATAATTATCTTAAATGTCTTTGCTTTATTCAAACATTCAAAGCCCTCAAGCCTCAAAAGAACTCATTAAGACCTACCAATTTAGAAGAAATCTGAGACTTCAGAACTTTCTAGCCAGATTATGCAGATCCATAGCTCTAGATGTTTGCAAGGCCTTCATTATCTCTGTTGTCCAAATACAGAAGAATTTGTTTGAACTTAAAGGTAGAAGTGATTGGAATTCATGGTATGACCAAAAAATATGTCATCCTGTATTAGCCTAGTAGAAAAGGGAGTGTAATTTTTTGATGTAACTGCAAGTATGTTGATTAACAGAGGGTGAGGGAGAGATCCTTATGTAAAGAACTTTTCATGTCCTCTTACCATCACAGATGCTTGGCCCTACACATGTGCCCTTGCAGTTCACTACATTGCCATGCTGTATGATCTCATGGATTAAGTTAGCTTCACCAAAATAGAACCACAGTTGGCCAAATGTATTCTCTCTTCCAGCCCCAGCTCCTGGGCCTTTCTGCTAGGTGCAATGTTCCCCCCAAACCTGCTGTAGTTGCCAGACACTCATTAGCTTCCCAGCAGACTTCGGCACGGTAGATCCTTCTTGCTCACTATTGCATTTTTTATCCTGAAGAACTGGAGAAAGCCTATCAGGGAACAAAAATCTGTACCTGTGCTTAGACTTGCTATGTCTGAGCAGAAAAAGAAAAAAAATTATAAATTTTGTACTGACTAGACCTACTTGTTGCCCTACCAAAAGCCAGCTGCATTGTATCCTGGCTGCTGTTGGTTTAGGAAGTGAAGCCCTGGTTATAAACTGAGGTTTTATTTTTCTTTGTCTTTTAGGGTGAAACAAACTGAATTGTTTGACAGATGGAAGAGCCTGCAGATGTGCAAATGGGAGATGAATGTCACAGAAGCAAATTTATTCAAGTAAGAATGATCCATATTAATGAGATTGAGTAAAATTTACTTTAGTTTGAGTTTAGCTTCCTGTACAGAGATCAAACCTTCATATGAATAGCGTGAGTAAGCATTACAACGCTTACTGTTGGAGTACCATCCTTTTGAATCAGTATGGACTTTTTTCTACTGCCATGTGGAACAGTCATCCAGAAAAGGCAAGGAATTTGGTATGGGAAAGACTTGCAGGTATGATTTGGGCAGAAGTAAGGGTGGAGACAAGACTTCACAGCTACACCTAATACATCAGCCTTACTCTCTGGTGGTCTGGAATGGTAATATTAGTTGAGATACTGCAAATTTAGCCTGCAAAATGCTCAAACTGAATTCTTTCTGTGGTGTTCTGTGTACTGTCAGACCTTGTTTATGACTTCCTTTGGGTTTTTTAATGGCTTCTCATCTCTTACTCACAGATTATCCACATCATTTTTAATGTCTTCAGAACAGTTTCTGTACTACACTGTCTTCCTTCATGTGGCATCCTCTTTGATGAAGGTCCTCCATGATTCTCTCAAGATGCAGTTTTTGAAACTGGTATTGTGAAGGCCATAGTAGAATGAAGCCAAACCAATATTTGAATGTTGTATATTGATATATGCAAGTGTCCTATTTGAGTAGGTTTAGAGAAAGCACATTATTTGAGAGTAAGTGTCATAGAGACTGGTTAAGTCTGTAAGTAACTGGTACAATTTAGAGCTGTTGTTTAGAATAAGGCACCCAGCTTTATCCCAAATTCTCTTGCATGATTCCAGGAAATAGCTGTCAGGAGTTAATGAGAGAATGTGAGAATGCATGTGCTGAGTTAGTCACTGACATCTTTAAAAATAACATTGTTAGTCTCAGGCTCTAACAGTTTTTCCAATGTGATCTCCACATAAATGTTTTTTAGGGTTTTTTACCAAATATTTTTTTGGAAATTACTTGATGGGGAATTATCAAAGCCCATTTTGAAGTGGGGAGCCATTCAGGATTACAGTTTACTTATCTTAAAGATGACTTGAAGTAAGACTCTTGTGCCCAGAGTGCAAGGTGTACATGGAAATATGAAGAGGATCACAGTGAAGTATGGAGGCCAGTGCAGAGGTGGGAGCAAGGAGGAAGAACAATCTAAAGACTATCAGGAGGACCATGAGTCTATCTCAGGCCACGAATACCAGCGCATTAAACAAGGAACCCTTTTCTATCTTCTACATTGAGAGAAAAAAAGAGATAGAAGACTCCGGTCACTGTCCATACCTTCTTGACTGATATAATCCTGCTTCAGGAATTCTCAATGGCACCTAGATGTAACCTAACCTTTGTTAGCTGGTTCCAGGAGCACCAATCACGCTAGTCATATGAAAAAAAAAACCGAGTCCAAAGTCTGTTTGATTTTTGTCCAATGGGACAGAGACTTAAGTGTGTGAGTGTGTGGGGAAACTGTAGTCCCTTAAAAGCAGACCAAATACTCTGAGTTTGGAGGCTGACTACTAGGAGGCTGGAAAGTGTAAAATGAGATGGGCTTTTTAACTTTGATAGTTCTGGACCATCAGCTGAGATGGGGAGAAAGCAACAAAAGTTAAATGTTACTTAAAAGTTACTTAAGCAACAGGGAGGGAGGAAGTGCAAAAATCACACTAGTGTTTGTGTCTGGAGACTGAGGTAAGCAATTTCATTGAGAGTCTTTCTCCGTCAGATATCAGTTTACATTGAGGATCATGACTTTGGAAGACCATTTGGACACTAAGAAACAAGGTTCCTTTGGAACTAAATCCAAATGGCAGCCAGTCACTAGTGGTGTTCCTGAGGGGTCAGTATTGCGGCAAGTCCTATTTAGAATCCTTATTGATGGTCTGGACATGGGGATTGGGTGCACCCACAGTAAATTCGCAGATGATGCTAAGTGTTGATCTGCCTGAGGGTAGGAAAGCTCTACAGAGAGACCTGAACTGACTTGATCAGTGGGCTGAGGACAACTGCATGAGGTCCAGTAAGGCTCAGTGCTGGGTCCTGCACTTGGGACACAACAACCCCCTGGAGAGCTACAGGCTGGAGGAGGAGTGGCTTGAGTGCTGTTCAGCAGAAAGGGGCTTGGGTGTGCTAATTGAAAGCAGCTCAATATGAGCCAACAGTGTGCCCAGTTGGCCAAGAATGCCAATGACATCTTGGGCTGTATCAAGAATAGTGTGGCCAGGAATAGCACAACTAGGGAAGTGATCATCCCCCTGTACACAGCATTGGTGAGGCCACACCTCGAGTACTGTGTTCAGTTTTGGGCCCCTCGCTTTAAAAAGGACATTGAGGCTCTGAAGCGAGTCCAGCAAAGGGCAACGAGGCTCAGAAAAGGCCTAGAACACATGTAACATGAGGAATTTGGCTTGATTAGCTTTGAGAAGAGGCAGCTCATGGGTGACCTCATCACTCTCAACAACTACCTGACAAGGTTGTAGAGCCATGGGGTATGGTCTCTTCTGCCATGCCTGCAGTGAAAGAACTAGAGGGAGCCATCATGAACTGAGATAGGGGAGAATCATATTAGACATTAGGAAAAATGTTTTCAGTGTTAGGGTGATCAGGCACTGGCACAGATTGCCCAGAGAGGTGGTAGAGCCACCATCCCTGGGAGTGTTTAAGAGGTGTCTGGATCTGATGCTAGAGGATACGGTTTAGTGGTTACAGCAGACTGGTAGGCTAATGGTTGGACTTGATGATTTTAGAGGTCTCCTCCAACCTTGATGAATCTATGATTCTTTCAATTCCTTAATGCAGAACCAATGAAGAGGTTTTTCATATCTCAAATATCACAATTCAATTCTACTGCCTGCGTTTGAAGATTTAGTGATTTTGCTGTTAGACATTATTCACTGATTTACTCAGTCCCATTTACTGCCTTGATCTGATCATCATGTTTTGTCATTCTGCATAAGTCAAATATATAATAGCAACTGGACATCATTGAAATGTTTGCATAATTCTGTATTTACTTTCTGGTGCTTGTAATAAAGCCCATAAAGAAGACTGGCTTATTCTTCCAACTCATTATGAGGCCACATACCCCAGGGGCAAGGTATTTAATCTAGGTTATTTGAGAGCCATTTGGCTTTCTCTTCGTATTTGTACATTTGCCATGACATGTAATTTTCATTAACGATATGAAATGCATTGACTCAGAAATAAACTCTCTTTGGAATAAGAGTGAGCTGAAGTCAGGG